AAAATTAGTTTCATAAATGCCAGACCTGTTCGCCTTCACTTGGCGCAAGAAGAGCAATTTGCCGCCTCCACTTTCATCGAGGTGTGTGAACTGTCCTTTTGAAATTGGTACTTAAGTGACGAGAGGTAAATTTTAGGACATTTAAACAAAACACAACAATCTTCTTACTTTAGACCTTGACCAAAAACACTTATGACTAGTCAACTGCTAGTCATGAACAACCATAATCAAGAATACACACAGAGCATGACATAATGTACTTGCAACCTTAGAAGATTACTAGAGACAACCTAGGCACTCAGAAGGACCCGTCAATCTAGGCATCCCCTGTGCTAGCAACAACTATGGTGAAAGTGTGTGAAATCATCATAATCAAGTAAACACCAAACAGCAGATAATGATGACTAGTCAACTACAAGGACACAAACCCAGAATTCATACGATGACTAGTCAACCACCAAGAACACAAACCCAGAAAAATTACAGAGATGCAATTAGAAATTGTTTACCAAGAAACCCACCATTGGGAAAAACTGGGGGTCATCAACCAACTAGGCAATCCACTAAGTAGAAAAAGATTCTTACAAAGGAACACAAGCAAGCTCAAGAAAAACCTAGATCTATTTAAGAAGATGAGTTATACCTCATTTGTGCAATCTTCTTCTCCAACTTAGCAAATCTTGAAGCTTAGTTCTTCATGGCAATGACAGCTCATTCTCCAGCTCATTCATCCCGTGACACCAACTTGCAAGCTTTAACTCAGATAGAAACCAAAATTTGGATTCAAAGGAGAATGACCAATTTCTTCAAGAAACTATACTCTTGAAGAAATCAATCTTGAATCTGACCTAGATATATATGAGAGAGTGTTTGATCTAGCAAGATGAGGTTTTCATATTTCAAATGCAGTTTTCAAAAAGAAACAATTTGGAAAACTCAAAGATGAAAAATATGAAGGTTACACTTGAGGAAGAAGAGAAAGTTTACAGAGAAACTTTCCAAAACTTGCCTACAAAAGTCATGGCTGCTAAATGAGGAATTCTTTGGCTTTTACAAAAAATTCCTAGGTCTGAATCAACACATGGCAGTAGAGAGAGAAAGGAGAGTAGGACAAAATAGTTGGTTGTTCAACTGGAAATCCTACAGAGCAAGGATGACTAGTCATATGAGAAACAGATGACTAGTCATCATTTTATGAAATCAATTTAATGCAATGTGATGCAATGCACAATTTACCTTTGTCAATTTGCTTGAACCTCCATAGGATAGTTGTTAGTTAAGAACACCTAGAGAAGCTATTCTTAATCTAAACTTGAGCTTGATAAAAAAATATAAATCCTATTACAAAATTGTAAAGGGAAGCCAAAAGAAAAACTCAAAATGCATACAATAACACCTTTCAGTCACACTGGTTAGGAAATGACGTCAAAAATACATCTATACCCATTGTTTTCTTGGTCCACAAACATTCGTACCATGTTAATTGAATAAAGTAAGGGTTTATCGATGACGGTTGGGAAACTGGCCAAGATATAGAACCCAACACTTTCTTGTTGGTCCAGAAAGGACACCGTGAATTATTCCTCCAGATACCATTTTCATTCCCTCTTCTCCAAGAACCCAGATGGACATCCCATAGTTGCCATGGTTTAAGGTGATGCTTTTGGTTGCAAGGCACTCCTTTGAAGATTTGTACAACATGGCTGGGACATGTAAGTTATTTTAAGAAATGCTCAATGATCGTGAGGTTTGGTGAACCGTGTCAATAGAGAAGTACCCGTGGCATGAGGAATGGTACGGGCATGAGGAATGGTACGGGTTTCATGAAGGCAAAATGCGTGAGTTCTTGCAAAATTGCAAAGAACATAACAATCCATAAATCACTTATAGACAAGCTTTTCATGACTTTTTCATATGCAACAATGATGAGGTGGTCAACAACATGCGAGTGGAGGGTATGGCAGGGCATATGGATTCCTGCTATGTTGTTGGCTTGCTAGGGCTGTTGAACCCTAGTAAGGGCAAGGAGGATGCGATGAAATTTTTGTGCCATCTAAGCAAAACCAAGAAAATTGACATGCAAGCATGCATGAATTCAATTATAGGTTGACTGTTGAGGTATACTTTGGGCGTGGTGACTCTTCCAACGCTTGCAAAGTTTACTGCTGACCAAAGTTATTTTGAAAAGTATTGCTTTCATTATGAGGGTAATCGGGAGTGGTATTTAGCATATGACCACGAGAGTGGTTTCAACCTAGAGTCCTGGGATTGCTATGAACCCTGCAAATGGAATAGGAGCTCTACGGCTTCCAGCGCTGCCTCTCTTTGAGGACCACATGGATTTAATTTCAATATTCATGGTATGATATGGGTATTAATATGAAAGTGTGTTTTGGGTTTCTGTGTTTTTATTTAAAAGGGAAACTGTCTTATGTTTATGGTTTTATTGTTTTTATTTAAAGGGGAATCTGTCTTCTATTTATGGTTTTATTAAAGATCAGTACACTTCTAAGATACTGTAGATCCCGTTGTAGACGTCCTTCATTGTGTTACATAGACATGCAAATAGGTAGCATGCGCACATCTGTTTTGGATTTTATTATGTTTTTTTTTGTTGCCGTCGAAAACGGGGTTTTGGGTACTATGGTTTGAGTATGTTTTCTCACATAGGGAATTGTTGGTTCCGATCCCCGAAGCAGTCATTCATTCAAGATGACAGACAACCATATGCCAGGGAGGTTGCGTGTTGTCAACGCATAAGGGATTATCCTTTCTCCGTCTTGAGTTTGTGGAAGTTTGAGCCATCCGTCATCTTCTAAGATACTCTGGTGATCCCATAAATATGTCGGAAATTTCCCCCTAATTTTCGGAATTTTCTTGTATTTGAAACTATTTTTGCAACAAAAAAAAAGTTGAATAAAGTAATCAGGAAATCCCTTTTCACTAACATAATGATTTAAATATCGAATTGAAGGGGGGAAATAAGTGTAGGGTTTTTCCCATATAGTTTATAACCCAATAGGAAATTTCCCCATTATTTTCAGATTTTTCCTGCATTTGTAACGATTTTTGTAACAAAAAAAAAAGTAATCCGGAAATCCATTTTCACAAACATAATGATTTAAATATTGAATTTAACCAAAAACTTTTGTGAAGTATAACCAAAAACTCTTTATGAAGTATTCTTCCCCATAGATACGTAGGAATTTTCCCCATATTTTTCAGATTTTTCTTGCATTTTTTTATGAATTTTGCAAAAACAGAAAAGAAAGGAATAAAGTAATCAGGAAATGCCAAGTGGCGGCGCTGGAGTGGGGAGCTGCAAACCTTAGCGACACGCGGTGCATTCCCATGCCATGACACGCCACTTTTCCAATATTTTATTCTTTTTTCACTTAAATATTCATTTAAAAATCGAATTTAAGAGGAAAAATTTGAGAAAAATTCCTCCAGGATCATGACGAGATTTCCTTCGATGAAATACCTGGAAAAAGGCCGTGGCATACAAATTTGGATACAGGATTAATGTGATCGAACAAATAAAAGTGTAGGGTTTACAAAGTGTACTAGTGTTTTCATTTGCATCATCCACATCTAGGGTTCACCCCCTAATTTTATTTTTCAGAACTCCTAAACCCAGTATTGTACTTTCCTTATGAAGTATTCTTCCCCATAGATACGTTGGAATTTTCCCCATATTTTTCAGATTTTTCCTGCATTTTTTACGAATTTTGCAAAAAAGAAGAAGAAAGGAATAAAGTAATCAGGAAATGCCAAGTGGCGGTGCTAGAGTTGGGAGCTGCAAACCTCAGTGACACGCGGCGCATTCCCATGCCGCCACATGCCACTTTTCCAATTTTTTTTATTCATTTTCACTTAAATTTTCATTTAAAAATTGACTTTAACGGTTTAGGGGTTGGGCTCCTAGGGTTTGCAGTGTAGGATTTACTATGGAGGGTTTAGAGTAAAAAAAAATATAAAAAGTCCCCATAGTAATGTTCTTCTTTCCTGCTCATGGATTAGGGTTAAAAATTAAAAACATCCTAGAAAAATCAAATTTCCCGTTCACGGATTGTTAGCACCAAAAAAGGCCCTAAAATCACCATTCAAACTTCAAACTCCATGTATGTTTGGACCAAAAAAATAAAATACAATTCCTTTTCAAAATTGAAGGAAAATAATTTGGGGGGTTTTTAGCAAATATTTGGAAGGATTGAATTCTTCTGTTTACTTCATTTTCACATCTTGGCAAAGCGATGTCGATTTCTTCAACAAACACTGAAGCAAAGAGGTGTCGACATTGTAATGCTGAGATGGTGATGCTATGAATGGCTATGAATGGGTGAGTGCAGCCAACATGCCAACTGAATCTCACATTCAAAACCAGCTAGATGTGAAGGAACTTAATGCATATGTTGAGGTAATCCGTATAATGAAGGGCATTAAAAATATCTTCCTACAGTTGTTAGTTCTATCATTTCTGAATTTGGCAGTTAAATTGATGAAAAAGTAAGAAATGTTTTGCCTCTATGGAAATCTTTTGGCTTTTCAAGTATATGTTTCGTTATTTTGTAATCTGGATAGCTATGAAAATTTGAGAAGTGTTTGGAAATCTACAAATATGAATTTAGCAGTGAAAGTTTATTATTTGTAACCTAGTCAGCTATGTATGGTACTCTTAATTTTTCAACATTTCATATGCCTGCATCTTAACTTCACAATCGTGTTTTCCCTAAACAAGTACATTCGTATTTATTCCAAATTTGAAAAGAATCATGCACCATTTAGGGAGGGTTCAACATAGAATCAACAATATGTGTTGAGGGTTTCATACAGCTTGTATTTGAACATAATACAAAATCCTTTTCATTTCAACAACTGTTACGTACATAATTACAAACCACCCACCCAGTTAAAAACTTTGCAAGTTATGTCATATTGTCTCTCCTAAACCCACATACCTACCAATATCCCAGCAACAACTATTCATCAAGCTTCAATCAAAAGAAGGCCATAGCGTCATGGTAAATATTGGCTAGGTCTACATTTGAGGTCAAAAACTCGCAGTATTTGAGGACGTACATCCCAGAGTCACCCCTGAAACATAGCAAAGAAGCTGTGATTCATTGTATAACAAATCCATTTAATAAGAGAATGTGTTTAGGTGGAATGTTACTCACCAGAGAATGTGTTTAGGTGGAATGTTACTCACCCGCCAACTTTTGGGGTGAATCCATTATGCAATAAACTGGCCACTCACTTTTTCAAATAAGACCGTCTCCAATATATCCCGATTTCTCCAGCAACTGGGGCAGCATTTTGGCAACCGGCTGCACTGCCTGTTGGATGGCTTGAGTTCTACATAGATTTGTTTTCGAATCATATGCCCTTACCTCACACTCTTTTGAATCGACAATATGTAAGACCAGTGCTTCTACCTTTGTAGGTTGAAGGGCGTAAAACCGTGATTCACAGATAACTATGATTTAGCCGACTTAGGCCCTTCGCCCTTGACCATTCTCAGTAGACCGTTGTTGTGCTTCCTGTCCTCATTTCCCATATACGCCTTCATTTGCATTGTAATCTAAGGCAGCACATTTCTGCATAGTGACACATGAGTTGTGTATCATAACGGATACCAAATTTACCAAATTTACCAAATAACAATGCATAATTATGAAATAATATAGACCTAAAAAGTGGTGTCTAATATTGTCCAGTCAGAACCCACCCACTTGCCAGAGCTGTTGTGCCGCTCCAATAGAAAAAGTAAGGTCATGTCAATGTTCTACATAAAAATTTTGTTTCCATTATTAAATCAACAAATCACTACATAGCATGGGCATTTCGACGAAATCCCAAATCAATCAATGCTTACCAAGTCATCCAACCAACAGTCCTTGGTCAACAATTGAACAAAGAAGTTATGCAATCATTATTATTATCAAATCCTTTTCACCAATGACTTAACAAGTAATCATAATAAACCATTTACATTTCATAAGGATGGGCAAAGGGAACTTACTAATCTTCTTGTCCTTATTCTTAGTAGAATTTCGCCACCTCCAGAACAGAATCACGAGGAACATGTTGGGAATCTCCCGACCTTGCCATGGAGTTTCCCTTGCCACTGCCCTTCACCTCTTCATCATAGGCCCAAGAGTCTCACTCTTTCCCCGACCCTTCTTTTGTTGGACCCCAACTATAACATCTTCACCACAATCACCCTCCGCAGTGGACATTTCAATCTTTCAAGGAGGATTCGTAAGAAATTTAACAAGGGTGACACACATCACATTTAGATCATCCCAATTTATATCTGGGGGTGTATATTACACCTCTTCTTTCTTATTTTGTATAGACTCCTCTCTTCCTCACGTTTGCATGACTGATACACTTTTCCAAGCATAAAACTCTCTCATCTAGCTCACCCTTCTCATGGTGCAATACTGCAACCTCATTCCTCAACTGCTACACAACAGAGTTTAACTCATCAAGGTCCTTACATACCCGCAAGGCTACACTAGGTGCATCACATTCCAGAACATTTGATCCCCAAATCTAATATGGTTGGCTCATCTTCGATGCACTTGGTCGTATGAGGCGCAGTATAACAAGCTGTTAAAAATATAGAGTTAACAGGTCATATACAATATTAAATAGCTTTACTCATGAAACCAACATACTATTGAAATAAATTATTAACTACACACTTGTTTGCTTTGAACTATATAAGCATTCAGCTTTCAAAACTTAGGCACTTTATCTGTGGATTCCCACCGGCAAATTCGAGGGACTAATTCAGGTTCCTCGATCCGTACAATATCTAAGGGGAGGAATTCCCAATTCAGCAATTAATTCATACGCCTAAATCTACACCAAATAGATTATCAAAGTAAGTACTTAATTACGAACTTAAATTTTACAAACACTAATTTTGAACTAAACCATACCTAGAAAGCATAGCTCAATCCCTTTATATTCCATGCAGGTCTGTTAATTCTTTTACACTTCTCATCCTCCATGTTTTTCTTCCCTTTTTTCACTGAACTCTGCACCGCCTTTTTACCCTTTTTATGTCCTTTCCCCTTCCCATCATTGTTTTCATCACTCTCTCTCTTCCCGGGAGCAAAGAACAAAGAATCTTGCAAACACTTAAATGATATAGAGCCCCACAGATATTTGTTAAATTTATCCATTTTATGAACCAAATGTAAGTAGTCCTCGTTTATATTTACATTTTGGGGTTTACCAATTATCACAAACTCCACAAAATACAGCAATCCCAATTTGAACGAGTCCTTGCTTCCTCTTTCGGACTTTAGAAATGCATTTTCTAAGTCATGGTAAGTAATGTGACTCCTGTTGGTAAAATGCGCATTCATAAATCGATTATAAGCATCCCCCGCAGACATTATGTACGGCTCTGTTCCACATTTCAGACCACTTATCAAAAAAAAGTCCTTTACATTGAATTGAGCCACACTAGACCTTATTACATAACTAAGGCCCAACATGTCCTTCACACCAAGTCCTCCGACCTACTGGAGTGCCAGAGCATGCACAATTTGACCACTATATGCAATTTTATGAAGGCCCACTAGGTGCCCAAAACAGCTCTCTCTAAGTCTTTTCAAAAGTTAGTCACTGAAATGCGCCCCAAAATTATATAGGACTATACTCGCCCCACACATATTATTCACCTGTGCAGAATAAACCTCTGACTCTGGAAAACAAAGCTCAAATCCAGATTCCATTTTATACCTACAACAGACACCTTTTGCTTAAGAAAGAGAAGTGATACATGCTCACAATATTATCAACACATTTTCATCACATTAAGATACATAATTAATACCTACAAACACTATTTTCAACACATTAAGATACATAATTAATTTGATACCTACTGACACTATTTTCAACACATTAAGATACAGAACTGATACATTATTTTCATCACATTAAGATACATAATTTTCACCTACAAATACTATTTTCAACACATTAAGATACATAACTGATACCTACCAATACTATTTTCAACACAATAAAATACAAAATTGATACCTACTACAAGATGCATTGATCCTTATGCATCCCAAATCATCTCATATTCACAGTTAAGATCTTCAATTTTCTCTTATGCGTTCTACTTCTAATGGTACTTAGTATTTCTTTTCCAAGCCCCATTAAATCACTAAAATGATGCCCTACACTCACACCACTAGATGGGCAAAGCAGGGTTACAATAAGGGTCAAAGCAAATAGATAAAGGTTCCTGGAATTTGAAGAAAAGACAACCAACAAACAGAATGCAAAATGTTTTTTTATTTAAAAAAAGTAGGAAAGCAATAGCTGTGAATTCTACAACATTCAACAAAAATACCACAAAAAAAAAAAAAAAAAAAAAAAAAAAAAAAAAAAAAAAAAAAAAGGAAAGAATATTTAAACCGCAGCAAAACTTTAAAAAAGAGTTACTATGCTTCAACAAATTACTACTGCAGAGAAAGAGTACTTTTTACCTAAAAATCAAAGCCCTAAAATCCTAAACAAAATTTAAACATGAAGTGAATGCAATATAACATGCAAACCTTAATATGAGAGAGAGAGAGAGAGAGAGAGAGAGAGAGAGAGAAACGTACCGATTCAGATGTTCAGATGACTTTGGATGGCTGGGAAATAAATAGACTAGATGAGGGAGGTTATGCGACAACAGAAGAGGAAGTGAAAGAGAAAGAGTAGACTAGGGAGTTTATGCGACAAGAGAAGAGGAATACACAAATTTATGTATGGTAGGTGAAATTTTAGGTGTTATGATTAGGGTTCATTTATAAATTAATTAAGAAGAAAGGCATGATTAGGGAAAACTGTAGCCTACCCGTTTGATTTAGGGCTAAATGATGCTTTTGAATTCGGAATACAATTATTATGCATGACAATTTTGGGGTATAGTTTTGGGCTTCGACTTTAGGGTTTCGGTTAAAGGGTTTGAAATTAGGGATTCCAATTGGGTTTCAGTTTTGGGGTTTAATTAACCAATTCAGTTTTCAATTGGGGGGTGTAATTAAGCTTTTCTAATGATGTTTAATTGATTTTTGGCAGGGATTGTTTGCTGAGCTTGGATTGGAGGCTTGGAGGTGTTATTGCTGGCTGGCTTTATAGAGGTACAAACAAAAATCAATCTGGAATTTGGGGTTTGTATAGGGTTTAATTTGAATTGAATTATTATGCAATTTGGGGGTATAATTATGGTTTAATTTGGGGTATAATTAATATGTTTGGTAGCTGAGAAAGGTATGGAAAAAAAAATATTTTTATATATTTTTTGTCTAAATTTTTCTGTCTAGTTGTTGAGAGTTGGGTGATGAAACAAAAATTGTAATTCTTCTTGTGTTTGGTAATTTTTTTGGACGTTTCCAAGTTGACAATCTCTCTCTCTCTCTCTCTCTCTCTCTCTCTCTCTCTCTCAAACCAGCCCGAACTCAAATTTTATAGATTGTAATTAAAATATCTTATTCGATATGCATATGGTGGATTATAAATGTGTCATGATTATATTTATTCTAATCGCCTACTTCCTGACTAAATACAAACTAATGGATTGCACACCGATAAGCAAGGGTGGGCACGGTCCAGTTCGATTTAATTTTCACCTCAAACCGGACTGGAATTGGTATTATTTAATTGGTCTGGTTCGGTCCAGTTTAAGCAAATTTTTTTTTAAAAAAAACTGGCCAGTTCGGTTCGGTTCCGGTTTTGAACCAGATTATTAATTTATTATTTATTATTTATTATTATTATTATTTTAAAAATAATGTTTTTAAAATAAAAATTATAATAAATAAGTTATTTTTTTGGCTTAAAAATTAACAATACAAATTTATAAATAAACCCAATCCTAGACATGTATTTATAAAAAAACCCAAGCACTATTTAAACATAGAAACACACCCAAAATCAACCCCAAAATCAACAATTGTATATTTTTTGGGTGTGTTTATAAATGGGTTTTGAGTGTGTGTAATGATGGGTTTTGAGTGTGTTTATAAAGTGTTTTGGGTGTTGGGTTTTTTTTTATAATTTCAGCCCCCATTTTGGGTGTTTTAGTGAAACTCCCAATTAACAAATGGCCTAATTCATATAATGAGAAATTTTTTGAAGTTGAATTTGGAAAAATATTAATTATAACATTTAAAATATAGCATTGGATTTTAAAATTTTGTAATAAATAAAAAATAAAAAAATACAACCGGTCCGGTTTAGTGCGGTGTAAAACATAAACCAGAACCAGTTAGAACCGGTTCGGTCCGGTTCCGATCCGGTTCCAGTTCGGTTTGTTGACTTTTTGGTCAACCAGGTTTTTTTCCAGTTTTTTTTCACCGGTCCGGTTCGGTATTTCAGTTTTCCGGTCCCGATGCCCACACCTACCGATAAGGTTGAGTCTTAGAAAACTAATGAAGATGATTCAGTCAATGACGTTAGTTTAGTTTAGTTAATCAATTAAACCAAAGATAATTAAGAAATTAAGTAATCAAACATATAATGTTAGGTTAGGCCGTAAAATACAATTAGGGATTTTAGGCCCATTGAGCTTGTGACTTTAGTGAGTGCTTCTATAGTGAGTGGAAAGTTATAAGGGGTTTTTTTTTAGGGGTATGTAAGAGCAACGGTGAGTTTTTAAAAGAGGGTGCATGTAGAACCGGGTTGAAATCTGACCTGTTTGGAAACCCAACTTCAGCTGAAGATTTTTCCCTCTCTGTGAAAAACTCAAGAACACAATCCTCTCTTTTTTAATGTAATGCAAATCCACAATTAGAAAGATCCAAAGCTCCCAAACTCTATAATCGCTTCATTGTCATCAGCTCCTTGGGAGGCCTGCGATCTATGGTATCCTCGGTATGACGATTAATGGCTTTTACCTAGCTATTGCCCTGTTTTGATTCTATGATTCAAGTGAAAACCCCTTCTCTTTTCGTTCAGCAGAAGAGATTCCAGATGAAAGCAAAGTAGCATATCTCTTTTTCGTGCTACTGCAGTTGTTCCTCGATTTTGGTAGAGATGGAGTCTCCACTACGAAAGAATCCTCACTAATGTCCACCACATTCTCTCAAGCTGACTGACTTCGAAGCTCCCGATTGACTTTGAGAGGTAAGTTCACTCTTCCTGGATTGATTTTGTTGGGTTTGATTTGTTTTTTGTGAGGGTGAGAAATTTGTCATTTGTGGCATCAATAATGCGTCATTTGCTCTGCTATCAATAATGCGTCATTTCCTTATGAATATTCAATATACTTAGTTGATTATTTTTTTTGGAGGGGGGTTGGAAAATTATGAAATGTAGGTAAAATATCCTAAACTTAGGCTTAATGGCATTAGGAGTAAGCATTTGGAGAGGATATTGGGTGAAGTTCTGTAATTGCTGGTTTGAATTACATTTGAGTTCTTAGTTGATCATGTTGGTTCTAATGTTATTTTTTCCAGATTATTTCACAAGAGATGACGTAACTATTATTAACATTTGCTATGCAGTAATATAGAAGTAGATCAATAATATACATGGATAAAATGTCTGGGGGCTCAGAGAGTGATGACTCTGTAACAGCTAATGGGAGGGTTTACATTCCTGAAGTAAGAAATGAGGAAACACCAGCAGTTGGGATAAAGTTCGACTCGCTTGACCTCGTTTATAATTTCTATAATAGATATGCATTCTTGGCTGGCTTTGGTATTCGACTTCATTCCAGCTTTTGGGGGAAAAATAAGAAAGAGATTCTGAGAAAAGAATTTGTATGTTGCAAACAAGGTGCATACCGGAATGATGAAACTCGGGAGAGAAAAAGACAGCGGGGAATAAGTAGATGCAATTGCAAAGCTAAGATTGTGGTTGTGAAGACACATGGGAGCAAGAAGTATACCATCTCTCTTTTTGCAGAGGGACACAATCATAAGATGACACCCTCAGGAAGAATGCATTTACTGAGATCACACCGTCGTATTTCAGATTCTACAAAAGTACTCACAAAACAGTTGGGTTCGGTTAATATTCCCATTAATCAGAAGGTAAGTATTTTCGAGGTGCAATCCGGAGGAATGGATAAAATCGGTTTTATCAAAAAGGATATCTACAATCTTGAATGTAGTGTGAATGAGAAGCTGAGGAACCACGATGTTGAACTAGTGACCGAGTATTTTATGGCTGAACAGAAAAAAATGAGGCTTTTTATTTCAAGATTGAGGGAGATGGCGATAACAGGTTTAGTCGATGTTTTTGGGCAGATGCAACTTCTAGACGGGCGTACGGGTTTTATGGGGATGTTGTTGTATTTGATACCACATTCAACACGAATAGATACGACTTGACATTTGCACCAATGTTGGGAGTTAATAACCATGGTCAAACAATTGTCCTAGCATGCGCATTTTTGAGCAAGGAAACGACTGAGTCGTTTATTTGGATGTTTGAGGAGTTTAAGAAAGCCATGCCAGGTGGCGAACCTAAAACGATCATTACAGATCAAGATGCGGCAATGAGCAGAGCGATTTCAATAGCCTTCCCGACTACATTTCATCGACTTTGCATATGGCACATCACATCAAAGTTCTCTGTTAAGTTACCACATTCTGCTTATAAGGATTATTGGCGTGAATTCCAGAAAGCCATATGGGATACTGACAATAAGGATGAGTTTGATGCAAAATGGAATATTGTGGTTACAAAGGCTGGTTTGACTGACCATCCATGGCTAAGTTCAATGTTTGATTTAAGGGAATCTTGGGTTCCAGCCTACGCACGACACTTTTTTGCCGCTGGAATGTCAAGCAGCCAAAGAGCGGAATGTTCTCATGGTTTCTTCAAGCAATACATATTAAGGAGAAATTCGTTGATGTGAGCGAAAGGAAAAATTGGGAAACAAGAGTGGCAGAAGTCGTATATGTCAAAGATTCTGACCACGCATCGTGTAGCTGCAAAAGATTTGAATTTGTTGGAATTATTTGCAAGCACATCCTAGCATTGTTCAGAAGGGACCAGATTGAATATATGCCCGATAAATACATTTTGAAGAGGTGGAAGAAAACTGCGAAATCTGGATTGGTGTCAGATGCAAATGGCAACGAAATTAAAGACTCTGCAGATCCTGGTCTTTTAATAAAGCGGAGTACAATGTCCCGACTTGCTTCAGATGTGGTTGAGGATGCATTAATGTGTGAAGAAGGATGTGAGCTACTGTCAGAGACTTTAAAAGTTTGTGGGTGAAGTTGAAGTTGTTGAAGGATGGACCAAGTAATAACGAAGTTGGAGGGTCCAGCTCTCAAACACAATATATGAAAGACCCTAAGAGAGTAAGGTGCAATGGAGGGTCGAAACGAGTAACGGGAGCAAAGGAAAAGGCAATGAAGCGAGGGATTAGACACTGTCGGGAGTGTGGACACATTGGTCATGATAGAAGACAATGCCCAAGAAATTTGAACACACCGTAAGATGTTAACACTATTTATAATAAGACCTAAAATTTAAATAGGTAAAGTTCTTATGTGCTTCTGTTTGATGTTTATGCAGGACATCACCGTCGAACAATAACGAATCAACTCCAATAGATCTTAGTGACCCATTATTCGACGAATTTTACAGGATGCACGGACCAACTCAATGATTTAGGTTTCTATTATACGAAGCCCGGTTATTATGAAGACTAATGATCAGGTGAAGTTTTCTAGATGCAGTTTTATTATTATTATTTTTTTGTTCATGTCCACCGATGAGCTCTTACTATGTCCATTGATAATTGAAATGAAAATTTGCTTGGTTTCATTCTTGCATGAAATTTGGACACATGTTAATTTTACGTCTTTTCTATATTTAGAAATTTTCATAGACATTAGATAAAGCATCAAATTTTGATTTATGTGAAGAAGCAATGACTTTTACCTTGTAAAATGGGTAGTTTATGGTGAATTATGTTTTAACAAAGATTCATTGATTATATGACAGGCAAATGCAGCATTTCCAGCAGCCAGCTGTTGTTTCCATTACCAGTAATGATTTCCAGCAGCACGCATCATTTGTAGCAGCACCCACTTTTTGCGAATGTTATGTTCTAGTGTTTTACTGGTGATTAAGATCTGAGCTCGACTGGTTATTAGGTGCACGATTTTGCAAACATTCGTAACTGAAGGATACTTGAAGCACTTTGTTGGAACAGAAAGATTAGAAAGCAACGTGTAAAAAGTACATTGCAGCTAATCACATTTCGAATGGTTGGATAATATTAAAGGGTACACTAACATTTGAACTACTCATAATTCCACACACAAAAGAAAATTTGATTGCAAAGCATTTTATGTGCTCCCTCTTAGCAATACCACGATCTCCCCAATCAACTGAACAACGGTAGCCACAATCACTAGGTCGTATTGGTCAGCTTCTTCTTAGCAGGTCTCACGTGCTTATGGTCACTCATGTCCCCAGTGATATAGACAAAATAAATATTCAGCAATATTTGGAATTTTATTATATATACATAAACCATAAACCATTCACTACACAATGTATAGCACATGGTATTTTACTTATGACTCACGTGTCATGATAATGGGGCTTTACTGATTCCCAACGTGCTGTGATATTGACTGCTTATTGAATAATATTTCCATATTTGCAAAATATAATGTTAGACAGAAGGAACACATGATGACTTGCAAGACATAGTCCCAATAATTATATATGAAGCAAATGAAACTGATATTTGTATTATTTTATATTAGATAATGACATTAAGGGAATATAGTTCTAATTTGTGCAATACCACGATCACCCCCAACCAACAGAACAGCTGTAGCCGCAATCACTTAGTCGTATCGGTCGGCTTCTTCCGAGCAGCTTTGACGTGCTTATGCTCATTCATGTCACCACCATCGTCTAGTATCTCTCTCACAGCATCAGGGGACACATAGTCCCAATTATAACTTGTATGAGTAGTTGCCGCGAATGCTCGGAATTTTTCGAATCCTTCGTTGAATGCCAACTCCAGTTCACTGTGGTGCTCTTCGCATCGCATATGGTTCATCAAACAACCTTTAATTTCATCATTCATTACTGCATCCAACTCCTCAGCTTTCAGCTTCCTTTTATGACTCAGCTTCAAGTACTTGTTCTTTTGGGAGAACGCTTTGTTCACTCTAATGTTAAGATCAGCCAAAATGGCCTTGTCTTCAACACATTTCTCGTGCCATGAATTGATCAGTCTGGAATTATAATCCAGCTTGGTACTGACTGCATCTATTGCCTCTAATGGATCATCGGAGTCCCCCTCACTCCCAAATGATGTTGAAAATGGAAGGGGTCGGCGAGTACAACGTGGAAACGGAACCTGCGACTCCAATTTTTCATCTTCGATTGTGTTGTTGGCGCCTGAAGAGGTTGACATGCTTGAATAATCCTATTTTGTTTTAGAGGATGAGGATTGCAGATGCAATTTCGTTTGAGAAATGGAACATAGCTTTATAGACCAACATACCAAAGCTTGCGTGTAGTCAACATATCTACTTTATTTCAATTTTAAAAAAAGAGGTGTCAGGTTTTGCTTTTCAAGCATGTCAACCTCACACTCTCCTTACACCACTGTTAGTGGTTGAAAGAAACTCAATGGAAGTGACATCTAGTTAGTGAACCCAACCAAACTAAACAAACTAGTTAGGATTAAACTTAGATTGTATGAGACCTTTTTTTCATTTATACATTGTCAACCAAATGTTTTTTTTGGCGGGAAACCTTTTTATTGGTATTACTATCACCCCCTTCATAAAATTCTCCCTCCACAAAAAAACTCACTCCTCCACCGAATCTGTCTCCATCTACTGAAACTCTCTCCTCCACAAACTCTCTCCCCCCATTGAATGGATTTACTAACCAAGTTTGATGTGAGCATAATAAACACCCCTCCAAACAAAGACCGCCTTCGAAACGCAAGTGAGTCACCAGACAAGCAATGTCACATTCCTAGACAGAATGACCATTTTGTTGGAAGTTTTGAGTCTGAAAGAGTTCTTGCTTTCTGGAAGGAGAGGCATCTTCAACTTGGTGATGAAATCCAAAGGGCAAGGGCACGTTTGGAATTTGTTGAAGGCCAAATTGAAGATGACAAAAGGCAGGCCAATCTGAATGGGGCGAAGTTGCAGCGCATGAAGCATAGGTACAAACGACTTCGGAGTGTTGCTGTTCAAAAATACAAGAACTTATCTAATGCAATGGAGTCAAAGAAGCGTGTGATGCAAGCTGGATTCGACTACTTCCGGTCCTATGCAAAACTCATCGTACCCGGGTTTGATTGGTCATCTATTACCGTTTCCGACGTTAACAAATATACTCAGCAAGGGAAGTAACCATTTTGGTTATCGTGTTTGAGTAGAGGCAAATCAGAGGAACTGGAATTTTCGTTAAACTCTGCTTCAAACCTATTTTGATGCTTACTACTATAGATATTTCAACCTTAATATTTTGATGTCTTTAATTACGATAACACGATGCAAAGTGCCCATCTACTTCAGTCATATGTTGCTGCCATGTTCATTTTTTTTGTGATCACGTATCAGATTTGGACATGGTTGCATCATATGCAATGTTTCTTTTATGTATTATATGTTAGGGTAAGGTTTATGGAAAAGCATGTGTGAGTGGTTTTGTGACAAGGTTATGGCATTATTTTGTACCAGTTATATATTATTTTTTGTACTGGTTCATCTCCTACTATTGCTTTATTTCTTTATATTATATGTTTATGCGATTGGACATGATAGAAAATATATTACTGATTCCCAATGCGGCGTCATAAGGACAACTTATTGAATACCGCCGACGGGTTGAAAACTCTAGGTGCAGGTGCATATGGACAACTTATTGAATATCTCTGACGTCTTCAAAGCTCTAGGCGCATGCGCAGTTCCAATGATGGCTTCGAAGTAGTGGCGCATTTATTATATATGTACATTATTATAACCAAAACAGATAATTTTACATCCCTTATATATGAAAGGAAACTAATTCTTGTATTAGTACAAATTATATAACGAATATTAAGGAAATATACTTGTTAAAGTGACAAACATATATACTTAGGGTTAAGAGGAAAGTGAGTTATGTAAACAATTTTTGAATTTTTAATTGCGAAATGGATGATTCATGGGGTCCCTAGTTTTATAACGTCACAAGGAGGCCGGAGTATTTTGGGGCATTTTTAGGATTTTTCTACTATTTATTGCATTTTTTCAAAGATTTTTGCACTAAAAAAGCCAAAATAATTGCCAAATGGACACCTGGCGCGATCTCAGCCCCTCACCTTTCACCCCTTGACAAGTGTGCGTCAGTCAACATGGCCACATCCTTACCTTTACCCTAAATTATTATTTTATGACTTTTTCTTAGAAAATTTATAACTAAATACACAAAAATCAGAAAAATGATCCGAAAATTGCTACGAACTCATTGAGACTCCATCTCCCTTGCTGAATTCCCCGATTAGTGGTTACGCATTTTAAAAAACAATTTCGAACATTAACGGGAGAGGCTTGTTGAAGTAGGTTATTGAAGTTAAAGTTAACAAACATATATACTTAGGGTTAAGAGGAAAGTGAGTTATGTAAACCATTTGGATTTTTAATTGCGAAATGGATGATTTATGGGTTCCCCTCGTTTTATAACGTCACAAGGAGGCCGGAGTATTTTTTCGGGGCATTTTTTGGATTTTTCTATTATTTATTACCTTTTTTCAAAGATTTTTGCCCTAAAAAAGCCAAATAATTGCCAAATGGACACCCTGGCGCGATCTCAGCCCCTCACCTTTCACCCCTTGACAAGTGTGCGTCAATCAACATGGCCACATCCTTACCTTTTACCTTAAATTATTATTTTATGACTTTTTCTTAGAAAATTCATAACTAAATACACAAAATCACAATAATGTTCCGAAAATTGCTACGAGCTCATTGAGACTTCATCTTCCTCCTGAATTCCCTGTTTCATGGTTACGCTACATTAGTATTTTATTATTATTTATCCAAAATTATTTTTATTATTATTGTTATATTACTTTTTAGCTTGTACATTTGTTAATTATATTTACTCCAAATTTTAATTTTAATTTTATTTTCCGTGTGAATAGACCATTTCTGGTGCTAATCAGTTTCTCTCTTCTTCAATTTGTTAATGTTTTTTCTTTTTTAGGTTTAAGGGATGTTTTCAAACATAAATGGAAATATACAAGCCATCCATTCTACAACATCAGGAAATAATTATTCAAAGTCTTTCACTGTTCAAGTTTTGCTTAAGAAACGTGTAACCCAATTATTTGGGATATGCTAAGTGGGAAAATGTCATTCCCAAGAACCGGTGAAAAGACACATACTCACTTCATGCATGCGTTTTTGTTTACCAAATATTAAGATTGCAGTTGTGCAAAATATCTGTGTTAGTAAAATGTCATTCGTAGCCGTCAATTATGTCAGTAATAATTCCACTATATAACATATATTATACATTTATATATAAACGGTTTAGGACAGCACAAACACCCAGACAAAATAGATTAAAACATGAAATAGAAAACAACATTTGTAGAACATAGACACGCATAAAAACCGTAGAAACATACTACAACTAATTATAAGGGTATGGATTCCCTGGCACAACATAGACACGCATCACCTTGAACCAAAAAACACTCTTACGATGGCATTTGCATCGATTGCAACAAGTCCCAGAAGGCAGGATTGATCTTTTCTTCACTAGGCCAGCCAGGAATAACAAACAACCAGTCGTTGTTGTTACAAGCGCTGCACTGATTGAACTTAATCTTCCCATAGTGAAACATATCTACGATATGTCTTCCAACAGAGAAAACTCGGCTTAATCTTCGTCTCAAAGCATCCCTGGTTCCTTTCATATCAATGTTGTTACGTTGATTCAAAGAACACAAGTAGTCCAACTAGATATGCCGCTTCCATATGGCCTGCCTTGGCTGCAACGCGCATCCCAGACAATGCTTCCACATTACCCTGCCTGAAAAACACTTCGAACGCTTCTCTAAATATCTCCTCAGGGTTCTCGCGAGCCCTGCATTGTTGCATGAAATGCCGAACCTGCGTTGTGGCATAGTACCAGTTAATATGGTCTTGGTACTTTTCCATTGAAATGGTGTTCCACACTTGTGGAGTGTTTGCCAACGTATTGAACAATGGGCACACAGATGCCATACGAAAGAGATCTTCCGATGATTGGGTTGCCACGTATAACATCACTTTAAACCAAGCTAATTCCGGGATGAAGGCTTGAGGCACATCCAGATGGAGATGCTTCCTTCTCTTTCCTCCGACTATAGTGTAATGTTTCGAATTCATTGAAATATTTTTGGAATGGAACGATTTGAGGACTGCAAGAGGGGAGAAATGAGAATATACGGGGTTTGGGTTTTGTTTTAGCCTCTGTTTGCAGTGTTTTGAAAAGGTGTTTCCTTGGGGTTTTTCCAAGTTGACCCTTTTTAAAGAAACTGAACCCAACACCCAAAACATAAGACAGGCGAAGGGAAAACGTCATCGAAATGCAAAAGGAGTCAGACCGTCCAAAAGTCAATTAATAACCTATTTCCATAGCCATTGTTAGGCTTTTCCCGCCATTAAATTCATTGATACAAATGTGATGGATTACTGACTAGTGACAGAAGGTCCCATCAGATACTTTTTCATTTTCCCACACCACACTACCCCTAGTAAATGACGGATTCTTATCCAACTAGTTGCCTTAATGAAATATAAAGAAAATAATATATATAAAGCAGTGTCCCCTCAATTTTAAGATTACTATTTGGTAGTGAAATAGTATATCACTTTTCGGAGTAAAAGGTGTCACAATTCTGACGGTACAGGTGTCCAGATCGTGACCAACCCACCCACACACAGAAAAGAAGGATATAATTCGATTTGGGCAGAGATGAGAGAGAGCTGAGTGAGAAGTTTAGGGTTATGAGTGAAGGGGTATAACTGAGAAGGTATGAGTTCGAAGAGGTTTCAGTGAGAAGATCTGAGTGAGAAGAGGTACAAGTGATAAGATTCAACATGTCTTCGTCTTCATCTCTCGCTCAAACAAAGAGGTGTCAGTATTGTGGAGCTGCAATGGTGCTTCGGGTTTCAAAATCAGATAAAAATCGAGGGAGGCCATTTTGGAAGTGTCTAACCTCCTATGTAAGTTTTCATTTCCAGAATATGTATGTGGGTGAAAAAAAAATCCTAGGTCTAACTCTGACAGAATTATTTTGCATATATGATGCCTGCAATTAGGGAGCCACCAGTTGCAATGGATTCGAATGGGTTAATGTAACCTCCGCTGAAGCAGATCAGCAAGCTGACACTTATGATGCTACAATGCTTAATATGCTGAAGTCCATTAAGGACTTGGTATTAGTTTTATTAGTTGTATCAATTGTCATATTATTTGTTCTTTTAATGACCAATTAAGTGCACGGTTTCAAGGATTGTAAAAGTTCTCCCCAAAAACACATGTTGCACGCACCACCAATGACTTTTCAAACCCAATTTGTAATTTTTGTTCTTCAAATAGGTGGATTGGCATTGAGTTTAAATTATTGTTTGAAACAAAAGCATTTATTTGTCAGAAACCCAGTAAAAACTTTCCTAGACTTACTTTACAAAAATAAAGTCATACGAAGACGATAAAATGACAATACAAGGCCAATACGATGCAATAATAAGACAATACCTTTTTTTTGAAGATTGCATAATTATTCAGTGTATATAGATTGTTTATTGATTGTTTATTGATTGTTTACATGTTTCATGAAGGTTTAATGATTGTTAACTGCATGTATTTCGCATGTTATTGAACCGGTATTGAAGGTTTATTGAAAGTTGATTGAGTGTTTACTGCATGTATATCGCATGTTATTGCTCCAATATTGCATGTTTATTGGGGGCAAAAGTAGGACTCAAGTTAGATTTAAGGGGGGAAACGGTCCTTATTCTTTGTTTTAGTAAGAAGAACAACTGTTAAGTAGAATTTCCTATTCAATACGACTTCCTTATGGTTGATGTAATTGGGGACTGATGTATATTTCATGTTTATTGTGTGTATATTTCATGTCTATTGCGTGTATATTGCTTGTCTGTTGCCTGTGTATTGTTATTTATTTCCTTCGTAAGCAATACAAATCAATACAGACGCAATAAATGTAAGATATGCACGCAATAGACAAGCAATATAGACCCAACAGACATGCAATATAGACGCACCAATATACATTACTTTTATGCTACTCAGCTGCCCAAAACCAATAAAATAAAGAAAATCAACCAATTTATTAACCGATTATAAAGGAGAGAGGGATTCAAACCCGAGGGGCAGTGCGGAACCAATAGGGAGTTTTTAGAGCATTGCACCTGGGGACATTTTTTCATGTGTTTCTATAAGGAGGGCAGGGTTGAATAAAATATTGGAGGCGAGGCCATAGCCGCCTATTCCCTTTACAGAATTACCTTATTAAGATGCAACCCATTGCGATTAAGTCAAGGCATGTTGAACGGCTTAAAGATTGGGAAAAAAAAAAAAAAAAAAAAAAAAAAAAAAAAAAAAAAAAAAAAAAAAAAAAAAAAAAAAAAAAAAAAAAAAAAAAAAAAAAAAAAAAAAAAAAAAAAAAAAAAAAAAAAAAAAAAAAAAAAAAAAAAAAAAAAAAAAAAAAAAAAAAAAAAAAAAAAAAAAAAAAAAAAAAAAAAAAAAAAAAAAAAAAAAAAAAAAAAAAAAAAAAAAAAAAAAAAAAAAAAAAAAAAAAAAAAAAAAAAAAAAAAAAAAAAAAAAAAAAAAAAAAAAAAAAAAAAAAAAAAAAAAAAAAAAAAAAAAAAAAAAAAAAAAAAAAAAAAAAAAAAAAAAAAAAAAAAAAAAAAAAAAAAAAAAAAAAAAAAAAAAAAAAAAAAAAAAAAAAAAAAAAAAAAAGTCTCTGATCAATGTGTATTATCGATAATATGTTTATTGATTAAATGATAAATGTTTATAGGAGATGGAACAAAAGTTCTGAGATGTTGATATATGTGTTGAGAATTTTGTTAGAATCTTTATATCCCCTTTCGATTTTCTAATGTGCATACCTTGGAATGCATGGATTGAACTATTATTCTCACTGGTCTTGTAATAATCACACGGACCCGAGAAATTCTTGGATCATGGATGTAATGCATGAATGCATCAAGTAATCTAGATTGGAATAGTAAAACGAAAGAAGCACAACTTTTATTCCCACAGATAGTCTTAACTAGGTTACATAAATTAATGCATGAGCAGCAGCTGCATGCAATATTATTGAAACCCAAATCACAACATAAGGAAAACTTAAGAAAATGCCACTTTCGCAGGGAACGCGATTGCATTTAGCGTATGCAATAAGCCTTTTAAACCTATAGGTGACCCAGATAGGACGAGTGAAGTCTCGTGAGGGTTTCCAGCGACGCTACCCACAAACATCAAATTAACTGAACAGGATGATCATCCTGGAAGTTTTTCGACAATGAAGGCAGGGGTATTGGTGGGTTTTGCATTTTCGGCAGCGAGGGCATCATCGAAGTCGGTTCCAGATTTTGGCTCTGCAAGGTTTCCCAATTGCACGTGGACGAACTGGTATACGCCGTCGACGTATGGTGCCGGTTTTTGCAAAACCACAGGCTTGAAGAGTGTACATGACCACAGGTTTTTATTTGCCTGTTTCTCGTCAGCGTCGGCTACAATCCACGTACTGTCTTGGCCTGCCGTTCTCAAGTATTTGTCATTGTACGTGCTTTTTATATGCACCAGACTGGGTTGGTTTACGTCCTTCTCCACTTTGAACCTTGCGTATTTGCTGTGACTTTCGTCTCCGGAGGCTTCGAGCCTATTTGGCAGCTCTGCGGTGGATTGGTCTTTGAAGACCACGTATTTCTGGTTCCTGACCGATTTAAGAGCAAAAAACTTTGGTAAGTCTGCCATTTCTGATGATCTCTCTTTCTCTCTCTCTCGTTGCTTATTGCTTTTCCTAGCTCCAATCTGCTGTGCTATTTATAATCACGCAAACCCAAACCATGCATGCAGCTTTCACTTATTTTTCTTGCTGTACTGGCCCGCCATAACAGAGAAAATTAAATCCACAAAAATCGTGCTGTTAAACGTACAATTAACTTAATACACCATACTACCAAATGATTTATTGAATTACTAATTTACTCTAATATAAAATGACAAAAAAAGATATATAGAATTGTGAAACAAAAGTAATTTTAGTAAGTACACCCTACTCAATATAGTGAACCCTAATCAAATTAGAATTTTAGAGTTTGATTCCAAACAGATTTGAGACAAAAACTCGGGTGTAATAAGATATTTACATGCATACTTCACCTTATACATATCTAATTCACTGGCATGTGACTGTTTATATTTCCCATTACATTTGCAGCACACAGAAGAACCCTCAAGACAGATCATCATCTTTAGACCTTCTGGTTAGTACTCATGAATTTGGTTCAATGAGTGGGTGAATCCCTGACGGTTTAGATTTGATGAAGGGAAAAGGAGTTGACAGGAACATATTTGATGAAGACGACCAATTCATGGAAAATAGGGTGTACTTAGTATTATGGTGTATCAGGGGTATTTTTGGTAGTTAAGTAGGGTGTACTTAGTTAATTTTACATTTTGATTTAAATATTAGGGTGTAATTATATCATAGAGTGTACTCAATTAATTTTAGGATTCGTTTAACAACACCCCACCAAAAAAAAACAAAAAAGCGAAAGCATGCTTCACATCTTCAAATAAAACAAAGATAAGCTTAGTATTTTCTTCTTTGTTGTAATGTGAACTTGATCATGTAATTTTTACTACTTGTACATGGGCCATAGCCATTTATCA